CTTTAGACGCGCTTCTTTTCTTTCCTATGGCATCAATCTCATCAATGTAGATAATGCATGGAGCTCGAGATCGTGCTTCCTTGAATAGACCACGTATTCGAGAGGCGCCAAGTCCTGAATAACCCTTTTTCGAAAGATAAGTTTGAGCTGGTTCAGCTTTTTAGATAAAACAAAACGGAAAACAACAGAATTCAGGATGTTAGAAATTGAAATAGGAAAAAAACGAGATGTAAGAAAATCTATGAAGCAAAATTGAAAGCAATATTCTTTACACTAGAGACGTACCACCAATTACTTCCACAAACTCCGACCCATTCATTGATATAAATGGTGCAGTTGATTCAGCCGCCAGAGCTTTCGCAATGAGGGTCTTACCACATCCAGGGGGTCCAGTTAGTAAAGCACCTCGAGGTAGTTTCGCACCCAATTTCTAAGACAAAACATTTATTCTATTGATACTAAAGACAAAAACAAAGAATTTGCGAATTACCGTGTACTTGTTTGGATTTTTGAGGTAGTCAACGAATTCGCTAATCTCTTGTTTAGCTTCATAGCAACCAGCTACATCCTAAACGAATGAGAAAAAAATACTGATAACAACTCGCGGGTGGCGGATTCACGAACGATAGCTATCATAAACGATATCTATTGCCTGGCGGTAATACCGGACGCGCTTGGTGTATAGCTTCGCATACAAACGTAAGTTCCCTCTTTACACTAGTACTTCACTTAAGCCTGACAAAGCCTATAAAAATACTAAGATCAAAACAACATGAAAATGTCAGCAAAGAAGATAAATTTTTGGAGATACTCTATAGGTTTCAAGCTTTTACGTAACATTTCCACTTCAAATAGTTCTGTAGCAGCAAAAGTCTTGTGAGTACCTCAATTAAAAACTTACATATCTCAAAAAAAGTTTTCAGTGCTCATTTTGAACTAATTCGACATTTACAGATCAAATTGAAAATAAAAAATTCCCATCACCTCGGCAAAAGCTTATTAGTATAGTGGTCTTAATTTTAGTGACGTATGACGATGTTAGGTGAAAGCATGACAAAGCAAATGGATGCACTTGCGCCCGCTGTGTCAATCGAAGCTACCGTTCATAAACCATATATCAACAATCACAGCTAAAGACAACGGGAAAAAAAACTGAAAAATTCTCGTGCCTTGAATTTGATTCTGAGCTGCTTCTTTCCTTCGGGACTGTGGGGATCAATGACGGTATACTTGCCCTTTGTTATGTTTGACTAAAAAGCAAATAATTTGCATTGCCAGATTTAGAAAAAAAACCTAAAGCTAAATTACCATCATATCAGAAATGTTGAACGAGCCTCTGAACCTACGGAAAAGCAGGTAAGCGCCAATTGCTAGGCCGGAGATGAGAATCAATGTTAACCATTGGCTTCTAAATACCTGCGCACTTAAACAATTATCAAACCTCTCATTGTCACGCAAGTGTATCTGCGAAAAACCTCGACCACAGGAATAAGAAACCAACAAAAAAGTATATGAATAGAATCTCTAAACAACTAACATGGCTTCCATACGACGATACTGGATAGGTGTCCAGTACTCTGGAGGTAGGCGAGCAGCAGCTTCTGCAGCACGAACTTCCTCTTCAAACTTAGG